CGTCCAAATGCGTGTCTTGCACTAAAGGTGTTACTTCTAGTTCAAAAGCCGTACAGTGCTCTGGAAGTGACGGCTGGATGCATATCGCTTGCTGTGGCATCGGTCCTGATCAGTATGAAGCACTACAGCTGATAACTTCTCCAGCTATTGTTTTCTTTTGTGATGTCTGCCGTACCTCGTTAAACAACAGACGTCTTGTGAATGGGCTCTCCTCGGTCAGCCCTCACCCCATTCCAACGAAACCCAAAGCACCCAACACCCAGATCCTCCTGATTACTCCTCATTCTCCCGCTTCTGCTTCCGCACCAACCTCCCCCACAGGTAAACGAAGTCGCGGGCCGTCTGATTCTTTCTCCGAGCCATTGGAATACTTTCATCACAGTGAGCCCAAGACGAAGACATACGCATCCGTTGTAAAGGAAAGAATCACCGCCTCTAGTGTCACATCCCAGCTATGTATAAAGCCAAGACTAAGTCGAAGTCTAAATCCAAGCCTTCCTCCCCTCAGTCCCAGTTCAAATCTGTCATTGACAAGATTAACCACTTGGAATCGCTGATCAAAGACAGCGCAAATCCTTCCCAACCGCAGACCACTAGGCGTACTCTACCACCCGTGACCGATGTCTCATCATCAAAAATGCGCCTGAATCGACCAAAGATGTTCATGCCGGAAGGATGTTAGACGACCAAGTGTTCCTAGAACGACTGATCTCTGTGTGATTCGACGAAGGCGAACAGGGAATCAACATTATCTCGGCTTTCCGCTTAGGTATGAAACAAGATTCCCTCAAGGTAGTGTTCCAAGACGAGGAACAGTCTCGACGAATTCTCCAACGGACCTTACGTTGCAAAGGAAAGTCGTTATGTGTGTTGAGAGATCTCTCCCCGGAAGATCGGATAAGAATGAAAAAAGCTGTTGATGAGCTGAGGACCCGTCGGGCCCGTGGTTAAAAGACCTTCATATCGTGGATTTTCGCGTAGTTCGGAAAACTCCGAGAACCCGTTGGAGGCCGATTTTTGTCACCCTAGGACAGTAACGCAAAAGAACGGACTACGTGTGCTGCGTAGTAGTCTGCGAAATAAACTTGACGAGATAAGACGCTTGCCGCAGATGTGTGTCCTGATTTAATGGCCTTCACTGAAACATGGTTATTCCCAGACATCATTGACTCTGAAGTGTCTATCCCTGGATACCACTTTTCTCGGGCCGATCGTCATGGAAGTCGGGAGGCGGCCTAAGACTCTACTGGAGGGAGGATCTGAAGTCCCATCTAGCTGAGGTCTCATGTGACAATGACAGTGATTTCGATGTTCTTTGGTGCCGCATTCATGACGGGTGCAGATCTACCTTGATTGGTGTCATGTACAGAGCGCCACTGGGCGCGGGAGCTCGCCTGTTGGAACTGATCACGAAGCACGGTGTTGGAAAGGATTGTCTTATTCTGGGAGATTTCAATGCTCCTAATATCGACTGGGACCTCTTCCTTTGCAGTCGTCCACCTGATTCCTTTGATGCCACCTTCCTTGATACCGTTCTTGACTGCAGCCTGTATCAACATGTCGCCATGCCGACTCGTATTCTCGCCGGAGAGTCGCCTCATATCCTGGATCTTGTGCTCTGCCCAGCGCAGTCAGACGTCATGGACCTAACAGTCTTTCAACCCTTTGGTAAAAGCGAGCATTGTACTATTTTATTCCAATGGACTCGTCGCTTTACGATTCACAACCCATCTGCCGTCAGCCGAAATTTCTGGCGTGCTGATGCCCTTCATCTTAAAACGGCTACAGGTATTATAGATTGGTGTATTCCCGAACATCTAAATGTGGACGGCGCTTGGAATCTTTTGTACGCCAAGTTGACATCACTCATTGAACAAGATGTCCCCACCTCCAAAAAGCGACTGCTCTCTAGAGACCCTCCGTGGATTGATCGTGAATTGAGATCCCTAATGAACAGAAGACCTAAGTTGTGGGACCGCTTTAGGCTCACATGATCAGAGCATGACTACATCGGTTACAACACGGTTAGGAATACTTGTACCCTGAAAAAAACGTGAGAAACGTCAACGATATGAACTCTCCCTAGCCACACTTGCTAAAAAGACTCCTTAGACGTTTTTCTCCTACCTCAAACGGAGCACTAGAGCGGGCAGTGGTATCCCTGCCCTGTGTTCTTCCGAGCATGGGGATCCAGTTCACGAAGACATCGACAAAGCCAGCCTCCTGGCGCGGCAATACTCTTCAGTGTACTCAACATCAGCGTCGTTCTCTGACAGACCAGTGTGCACTCCCCCTTCTCTGTTAGAGCACGTCGATAAAAACACTGACGTCGTGTTGAAACTTCTCTGTGAGTTGGATCCTTACTCATCGCCTGGTCTTGACGACTTGCACCCCTTGTACCTCAAAACTGTGGCGCAGCACGTTGCTTCACTTATCACGCAGGTCTTCCGTCGATCGTTGCAGGCCGGACTTCTCCCGATCGCTTGGAAGATGGGCATCATCAAGCCCATATACAAAGGAGGGAACCGGCAAGACCCAGCTAGGTACCGGCCCATCTGTCTTACATCGATAGTGTGCAAAATCATGGAACGGGTCCTGAAACGGGCGCTTCGGCTTCATCTCGAGCGGTTGGATCTGATATCCGGTGCCCAGCATGGTTTTCGCAAACCTCGCTCCTG